ATTGCTGTCTTAAAGGATGGATATGTAATGTAGTTGCATTGCTGTCTTACGTCTGCTACTCTGAGGATGACATCAATTATGTTTATTTATCAGCTTCGGAATGTGTCTTCTTCTCTAGATTTTAATGTTATCGTTTTTCTCGCTTTCTGTCTGTTTACTGTTAATTTGTTTCTTAGTTTGTAAATATTTAGATATTCACAGAATATATACAGATGTATGCAGGCGTCTGTGGCTTAGGCGTTGCGAATGGGCTTCGTAATGTTGGGGTGCCGGGTTCGATCCCTACTGCAGACGGTTTGTTTTGTGATGGTTTCAACCGTGGTACCGAGAGCCGACCGTACAGGGACAATGGCAAACTACTGGACGCAAATTTGCTTAGAAAAACCACTACAGCCAGAAAGTGCTGGGGCTGGTTCTGCAACGTCCTGTAATGGATACGCAACTAACTGAAAATACAGACGTATACAGAATTGATATACAGACGTATACAGAATTGATATACAGACGTATACAGAATTGATATACAGACGTATACAGAATTGATATACAGATGCATACAGAATTGAAATAGGAAGAGAACACCTATAAAAATGTATCAGGCATGGAAAGCCTACATAATTCAAACGATGACGGATGGAGATTAATCAAAATCGCCTTAGCGAAAGGACTATATAGCCGCTGAATTCGAAGAAGAAATATGTATATTTCAAATCAATGAAGAGACGAAACTAGAAGAAGTACAAACAAATTTGCTTTACAGGGAATTGCAGTCGACGTCTTTGGCTTAGAGATGAAGAATGCAGTTGCATAATTACGACATACCTCTGTTTGATTTACCTGTAAATGATTTGGCAGCAGACCGCTATATGTTGGCTTTGCCAGCGGTGTGAGCTTCAACCGTTCAATGGCAATGCAAACCGCTGAAGATAAACTAATGAAATGAATAATTCTTGACATCAGTCCCCACGGGACATTCCCACACGTGCTCCGTCTCCTTGTTCAGTAGCCAAAAAAAGAATCCAAATGCTAAAAGTACCAGCTGGAACCTGTCCTCATCTGATTTCCCCTCAGCCTTGAGCATCTTTCAGAACCTCTACTTGCCCGCCCCCACCCCTCCGCCATTCAGTTCGTCCTGGAGTGTATGCATTTGCTGTCTGTTCTATTGCACTGCCCATCTGACCCTAGAGAGTCCTCATTTGCTTTATCCAAAAGTAGCACACCGCTCAGAAGAGTGGAAGCAGCCAGTCTTTCAGCATGCTCATTACCCTGCACTAACAACTCAAGTTAAAGTTGCATAGTAAAGCCATAGGTTAGTTGCGTATCCTTTACATGACGTTGCAGAACCAACCCCAGCAGCCCCTGGCTGTTGTATGGTTTTTCTAGGCAAATTTACGTCCAGTAGTTTGCCATTGCTTTCTGGACGGCCCCCTGATACCACTGTCGAAACCAACGCAAGGCGCATGGCCCGCAGCTGGGATCGAGCCCGGCACCCCGGCATCAAAAAGCGTTCGCATTGACTTAGCCACAGAGCCGACAATAAAGCCACAGACAATCAACAAATTTCAGGGCTGGACTGCGACGCCATGTTAAGGATAAGTTGTTGACTTCTTCCAAAGGAGAATTGTAATACTGGTCCAGCGAATTGCTAGACGGTTGTTATGACTTCACCGTCGTTTACGGTGGATTAAATGACATATTTTCGTGTCTTCAGACTTATTTGGCATATAGGGCTAGACCTATATTCTGTAGACCGATTGGCACTCGGTTTGTGACGTTGTCAGTATCAAGCTGACTGCGTTTACCTCCCAGAATATTACCTAATACCCATTTAAGGCTGGAACTAGAGGCTCCGTCAGGTCCTGAACACACGACCATCGGATCCAGAGGCGAGCGTTTAGCTGATACACCATGGCGCACCATTAAAGGCTCTATGCCCTTTTGTAAAAGTCAAAGTCTAAGCCAAATTCAAGAGGATCGACTTCACCGAACCGGCTTTTTATCCCATATAGCTCGGATTCTTTCCACAGAATGGCTTAGCCGCCATACGAGAGTGTCACACGAAGCACTAACCCCGCAGCACCAACGACGATCCCTACTGTTCCTGGTACAAATTACATCATAAACCGAACGACGCAGAACGGGAAACGAACTCACGACCATTAGAGTCAGAGGTAAACGGCCTAACTAATTCGTCATTATGACCCCTATTCCTCATAACTTATCATCATGCTGCAGGTGCTTTGCAGAACGTCACTCTGGACATGGTCTGTTTGGGAGGGGGTTGGAGGGAACTCCGTCTTTCGCCATCTCTCCCACCTCATGTACTTTCATATTAAAGGAGTCACCTATATCCTGTGCCCATCTTTGTGTTGGTGGGCCCCTGTACTTCATATCTGGTACCATGCCGTCTGCTATTTTTTGCCAGTCCGCCATGACGCTTGATATGTCCAAATATTTCAGCTTCCGAGACAAGATGCAGTTTACTGGCCCATCTTCCTTGATCTTTTAAAATGTCAGTATTTCTTCTGTTCTTTGTCCACGGTTTTCTGAGCATTTTTTTTTTTTTTTTTCATTTCACCTAAAAAAATCCCTATCTTCTTTACTAAGGACTGTGAGATAGTCCTCATAACTAAATAATGTTAATTTAACATTGCAAATAAGGCGTTAAAATATTTTCAGGCAAATCAGAGG